TGGGAACGCAACCCAGCAGGTCTCAGCTTCCTTTTAACCAGCCTCTGTTCAAGACGGAGTCGCTCTGCTGGCATGCCTCTAACAGATGCATTCAGCTGAAATCTGTGGGGTAGAGGGAAAAGGAGAAAGAGAAAAGCAAGATGGGTTTGGTACAAAGTCCTCCTTGTCTATTTAGCTGATTAGTTTTTGTCACATTAAGTAAAGTTAAAATGCGAAAAAGATCATCAAATTTCCAACAGAATTGTTCCGTAAAGCAAAATAGAAGATAATGAAAAATCGGCAGGGTGTAACAGTTTAATTTCATCCACTGAATTTAAATAACCAGTATTTTGGCCGGGTATGGTGGCTCCACCTGTAATCCCAACACTTTGGGAGACTGAGGCAGGAGGATCACTCAGGCTCAGGATTTCAAGACGAGCCTGGGCAATATAGTGAGACCTTGTTTTTATTTTTAATAATAATAAAAAATAACCAGTATTTTTAAATCCATGTAATATGGTTAATACTCCGCTAAGAGATAAAGAGCTACAGACAACCCACAGGACACGGCTTTATTCTAAATGGCCTTACTATCTAGTTGGGAGATAATACTAACAACCAACTAAGGTTACCAGGCAGTTTATCAAATGCCATATTGTGTGACGCAGACTTTAAAGATTATAGATATCTGGAAATGGGGCTAGAGAATCAATACTTCCTTCATTCATCGAATATTTATTGAGAACCTATTATGATTCTGCGTGAATAAGAGTGTATGTTCGGAGTTTGCAATCTAAAAGAGGGAGGCAAAGAAAATAACTAATACAAGAACAAATTAAGTGGACGGGCACGGTGGCTCATGCCAGTAATCCTAGCACTCTGGAGGTTGAGGCTGGCAGATCACTTGAGTTCAGGAGTTCGAGACCAGCCTGGGCAACATAGCAAAACCCGTCTCTACCACGGGGGGAGAAAAAAGAACAGATTAAGTGCTAAAATAGCAGGATGCTTTGTAGTTGATAAAGGGTTATTACTGTAACTTCTGAATGAAAGGAGAAGTGGGACTGTGAATGATTTTAAAGTAAAGGCTTTAAGACTGAGCCTTGAAAGAGAAGTAGGACTTTTTTCTTTTTTTGAGACAGAGTCTTGCTCTGTCACCCAGGCAGGAGTGCAGTGGTGCCATCTCGGCTTACTGCAACCTCCACCTCCTGGGTTCAAGCGATTCTCTGCCTCAGCCTCCCGAATATCTGGGATTTCAGGCATATGCCACCATGCCCAGCTAAGTTTTGTATTTTTTTTTTTGAGACGGAGTCTCGCTCTGTCACCCAGGCTGGAGTGCTGTGGCCGGATCTCAGCTCACTGCAAGCTCCGCCTCCCGGGTTCACGCCATTCTCCTGCCTCAGCCTCCCGAGTAGCTGGGACTACAGGCGCCCGCCACCTCGCCTGGCTAGTTTTTTGTATTTTTTTTAGTAGAGACGGGGTTTCACCGTGTTAGCTCAGGATGGTCTCGATCTCCTGACCTCGTGATCCGCCCGTCTCGGCCTCCCAAAGTGCTGGATTACAGGCTTGAGCACCGCGCCCGTGCTAAGTTTTGTATTTTTAGTAGAGACAGGGCTTCACATGTTGGCCAGGCTGGTCTCAAGCTCCTTACTTCAGTTGATCTGCCCACCCTCGGCCTCACCAAAGTGCTAGGGATTATAGGTGTGAGCCACCGCACCCAGCTGAAAAGTAGGACTTTGAAAATGTTGATTAAGTCAAACTCTGTAAAATGTTTGGAAGAGCTTTTTTATTTTGAGCCATATGTGAGTGGCCAATGGCCCATGACACCAGCTCAGGAGATCTGAGAACATATGCCCAAGGTGGTCAGGCTGTTAGCAGAAAGGGGTACTGATTCAGACCCCAGGAGAGAGTGCTTGGTTCTTGCACAAGAAAGAATTCTGATGAGTCCATAGAATAAGCGAAAGCAAGTTTATTAAGAAAGTAAAGGAATAAAGAATGGCTACTCATAGGCAGAGCAGTGGCTTAGGCTGCTCACTGATTACACTTATAGTTATTTCCTGATTATATGCTAAATAAGGGGTGGATTATTCACGAGTTTTCCAGAAAAGGGGTGGGCAATTTCTGGAACTGAGGATTCTTCTCCTTTTTAGACCATATAGGGTAACTTCCTGATGTTGCCATGGCATTTGTAAACTGTCATGGTGCTGGTGGGTGTGTCTTTTAGCATGCTAATGCATTATAATTAGCAAATAATGAGCAGTGAGGATGACCAGAGGTCACTTTTGGCACCATCTTGGTTTTGGTGGGATTTGGCTGGCTTCTTTACTGCAAGGTCTTTGTGACCTGTATCTTGTGCCGATCTCCTATCTTATAATGTGACTAAAAATGCCTAACCTCCTGGGGATGCAGCCCAGTAGATCTCAGCCTCATTTTACCCAGCCCCTATTCAAGATGGAGTTGCTCTGGTTCAAATGCCTCTGACAAGACTATAGTGTAGTTTTATATACTTTAGGAAGACCTAAGACATTCATCAAAACACATAAGATGTACATTGGCTTGGTCTTGAAAGGCGGGACACCTGGAAGCAGAGACTCCAGGGTCACAGTCAATTGAAAGATTATCAGGCTGGTGTGGTGGCTCACGCCTGTATCCCAGTGCTTTGGGAGGCTGAGGTGAGAGGACTGCCTGAGGCCAAGAGTTCCAGAGCAGCCTGGGCAACATAGGGAGACTTTACATTAGGAAATAAACAAAAAAGACTTACGTTATTATCTAAAGACCTGGAGTCTGCAGAATGTCTGGGTTAAGATAAGGGTTTGTGGAGACCAAGGTGGTTTTTTTTCTTTTGAGACAGAGTTTCACATTTGTTGCCCAGGCTGGAGTGCAATGGTGTGATCTTGGCTCACTGGAACCTCTGCCTCCCACGTTCAAGTGATTCTCCTGCCTCAGCTTCCCAAGAAGCTGGGATTACAGGCACCCGCCACCATGCCCGGCTTCTTTTTTTTTTTTTTGTATTTTTAGCAGAGACAGGGTTTCAGTCACCATGTTGGTCAGGCTGGTCTCAAACTCCTGACCTCAGGTGATTCACTCGCCTTGGTCTCCGAAAGTGCTGGGATTACAGGCGTGAGCTACCGAGCCCAGCAGAGATCAAGGTTTTATCATGCAGATGAAGCCTCAGGTAGAGCTCTTATCAGACTTAAAAAGGTGCCAGACTTGGTTAATTCTCTCCTGGGTAAGGGAAAACACCTGGAAAGGAACAGGGCTTTTTCTACAGACTGTAGGTTTCCCACCACAAGATACAGCTTTGCAGGGCCATTTTAAAATATGTCAAAGAAATATATTCTGGGGTTAAATAATTCAATTTCTTTCAGGGCCTGCTATCTGTCGTGATGCTATACTAGAGTCAGGCTGGCTTGGTGTCAAAATAAAAGTCTAGAAAAGCTAGAAAAAGTCTGTTCTGGCAGTCTTAAGATCTGTTTTCATGTGAATGCTGTTCAGCTGAGCCTGAATTCCAAAGGGAGGGGGGTGTAATGAGGCATGTCCGACCCATCCCCCGACTAACCCCCAATCCCCACTTCCATCTAGATGATGGAAAACTAGATTTTCAGGTTTACTTTGGAATGCCCTTGGCCAAGAAGTGGGGGAAGGGGGTCCATCAGTCAGTTGTGGGGTTTAGAATTTTATTTTTGGTTTACAAAATAATAGAATATTTCATGTTGAAGCACAAGCAAGAGCACTGCAGACATGAAAGGGTATAATTTTAGGAGAATGCTCAGATGGAATAAAGAATGTCTTGAAGGGTAGTATTGTTATTGGTGTTAAAACAAGTTATCACAAACTTAAGACACAGATTATTTCACAGTTCTGTTGGTCAGAAGTCCAACACTGATCGCATGAGGATAAAATCAAGGTGTCATCAGAGCATTAGAGAGGCTTCGGGGGAATGTTTCCTTATCAGTTCCAGCTTCCGGAGGTCACCCACAACGCTGGAGGCTCCCTTCCTCTATATTCAAAGCCAACAATGTTGTATCTCTCTAATCATTCTTCATAGTTACTTGTCATTCTTGACTCTCTTTTGCAGTTTTGGAGGCCCTTATGATTACAATTGGCCCACTGGAACAATCCAGGATAATGTGTTTTTTTTTGAGATGGAGTCTCGCCCTGTTGCCCAGGCTGGAGTGCAGTGGAGCTCATTGCAACCTCTGCCTCCCTGGTTAAAGCGATTCCAGGATAATCTATTTCGACACCAGGTAATTAACAACCTTAATTCCCATTTGCTATGCAAGCTAACACAATCACAGCTTCTGGTGTTTAGGCTGTGGACATCTTTGAGGGGCTATTATTCTGCCTACCATGGGTAATAAGGAGGAGCTAATACTAAGAGGAAAAGAGGCCCAAAGAGGAAAGGGTGTGAATGCACTGATAAGGGCAATGGGGAGCCAGTGCACGTTTCTGAGGCTTGCAAATTCTTATTTTTTTGAAGTAAGCTTTGGTTGCAGCTGAGAAAACTGAACAGGCATAGTTGGGGAGCAACATCAGGAGGCCACCATTACAGTTGAGATGAGAGGGTATAAGCTAGAGGTGGCAGAGCTAAATCGTTTTCTTTGGTCCAAAGCTGTTTATATGCCCTTTTCTAAGTGTTTTCCAACAGAATTCATGAGATCATTCCACAGGATCTCAGCAAGTGCAGTTTCTGATAATTTGGTCGAATTTGTTCAGTAGCTGCTGCAACGGAGGGCTTAAATCTTTCATCTACACTTAACAAGGGGAGACCGGAATAGTGGCAAAACCGTAGTTAGCAAGGCTGAGGCTCGCAGAGACCTAGGCATCGAATTTTTTAACGGTCCAAACCGCAGGGAAAGCGCGCACTCCCTGTTCTTAAGTTTTTCCCTAAACAGGGAGATAACACTAAAAAGCTGTCCCGCGTGAAGGCTGAAAGTCCTGTTTTCTCCCTAGCTTCAGTGAACAAAGCCTGACTGCTCGCCCGCGTCCAACAAAGACAACGCTCTTCCGGTCTTCGTGACCCACCCGGTGAGCAGCCCAAACCCGCCACCTTCCTCCCTCAGCTCCCACCAATCGGGTCGCAGGGCCTCGAGCCCCGCACTGCTGAGTCCGTTGACACTGCGTCCGGGGCCAGACGACGACATCAGCGCGGAGTCCCCACAACGCCATGGGGCAGAGCCAACTCTCGAGCGCGTGACCGAAGCCTGCAGTTTTTAGCTTCCGTCACTTCCGGGTGCGACAATCTCTTCTGTCCGGCCAGATACTGGAGTTGTTAGGTGCCTCCTTGCTTCTGACGGGCCACACGTTTGCCCCTTCTCTCTGTTCCCAGCTGGAGGGACATGAGTGTCCCTGGGCCGTCGTCTCCGGACGGGGCCCTGACACGGCCACCCTACTGCCTGGAGGCCGGGGAGCCGACCCCTGGTACGTACTGTCGGGTAGGAAGCGCGGCCCGGGCTGGGTGTGAGGGGCCGGGACCGGAATGGGTAGGACTCCGGAGAAACCGTGAGGGAGTAGGCGGCTTTTGGCAGCTACGGCCCCGGGCTCTGCCCCTAGTGCAGAAATGGGGAACCGCGCTGGCCCCTCTACCCAGCGCAATGGGCAGAACTGAAGTCCCGAGGGCAAGCTTTGTATTGGGCTGCAATTGGAGGCGGATGATGGTGAAGCCATTCTGAGTTTCTGACTCCGATACGTCATTAGTTATTTTTCATACGGCAGTGGTGGGGGATGGATTTACCAGAAAGATGATCAGCTTATAATTCAGAGAGGTGACGTATCCTATAATATTGACCACTCATGAAATGCGTGGTCAGCTTGGTGATAATTGCTTCATCCCTATTCCTGCAGCAGTCTTCTCGACCGAGTTCCAGGAGGGATTTAAGCTCTAATGCCCTAAGGCATCCATTGAATGGAATGAATTAACTTGCTGTGCACCCAAAATGGTACTATTTATGTACCATCCTTGGGAGAAGTGAGAAAATGGTCACTCAGAGCATTTTCTGTGTTCTCTGATTCAGATGAGGCCCTAGATGAGAAAGGCTGCAGGGCTTTGTATATGCTTTTTGTTTTACCTCCTGTTTCAGAAATATAGGGGTTACCCCAAATAGTGCTCTCAGCACTTTCCTGTTCATGCTTTTCCTCAAAGATCTCTTCACACTTTCATAAGTCGCTTCTATAAATGTGACTTCCTTGTATGTATTTGAAACTTGGGCCTCTGTTTACTCTTGTGTGCTTCTCCATCTGCTAGCTGGATACTTTGACGTGGCTGTTTTGCACTAATCTCACAGTAAGGCATGTACATAAATGAAAACGTGTCTCATCCTGTTAATGGTGGTAGGTTACTCTGACTTGAAACTTTGAAAATGCTCTGGACTTTTTCCTTTCTCTCCTTCCACCTCTAAGGGATTCTCCTATACAATTCCATCTCCTTGTAATTTCACCCTTAAAACAGCCGTTGAAAGGCTAGTCCACCTCCAGTCTTACTCTTTCAACGCATCTGTCCCACTGCTATCACATCACTGTCCCAAGATAAAGCTTCAGTCATGTCATTCCTGTACTCAGAAACCTTAAATAGCTCATCACTACTTATTAACAAAGCTCCAAACCGTTAACTTGGCAGTTAGAGGCCCTTACTGACCTTCCACATGGTCTTAAATAAGCTCGCTATTGCTATGCTGCATATGCTCCATGCGTCTCCAGAAGAAGCCTGTATTGTATTCCAGCCTTTCCTCATGCTGCCTTCTTTACCCATATTGCATCCATTCCACTCCTGCCACAGATTTCTTCCCCATTTGGAAACAGTCCTCACAGATTGTTGGTGGGAGTGCAAATTGGTGCCAGTTTCTTAGGAGGGCAGTTTGGCAATGTCTATTTAAAAAATGCATAAACTCTTTGTCCCAACAGTCTACTTCTAAGAATTTATACTACGGAAAGTGACACAATATACAGATAAACAGGGAAGCTCACTGCAGCATTGTTTGAAATAGCAAAAAGTGAAAATAACCTAAATAATCCATCTATGGGGGACTGGTTAAACAAACTATGGTAGAATTCTGTTCTGTTAAAAAGAATGTAGTAGATCCCTATATGTTGGTATGGAAAGATACATACGATACATGTTTTAAAAGTTGCAGAATGGTATGAGTAATATTTTGTTTGTGATAAAAAACAATATATGCATAGGCATGCAAAGACAATTTCTGGAAGGCTCTGTGAGAAACTCCAGAGTAGCTCCTGCTGGAGTAAGAAGGAGTATTTTTACTTTTCAGTTTGTGCCTCCGTCTGTAGTGTTTTAAGTTTTTACAGTGAGTAACACTCAAATAGACAAAGAGAAATGAAAACTCCATCCATTCATTGAGCTTTAGCTCAATGTCCACACTTCCTTTAGAATTTTTCTTAGACTTCCCTAATGAAAGTCGCTCTCCCCTGAATTTTCATAACATTTTCTGTTTCTCTAATGGCACTTCTCATTTCTGTGATTCGTCGTATTGTGCCCTTCCAGGGAAGGGGACTTGCCTTATTTATTGTTGTAGCCTCACAACCTGGTACATAATATAGATGTTCAGCAAACCTTTCTTGTGTGAATAGAGTAAGGACTCTCCCTTTCTTCTTCTTTACTCTCCCACAATAAAGCACCTTGAACTTAGTAATTAAATATATATAAAAACATGAGTAGCTTCTTAACCATTAGAAGCAGAGGGTAAAAGAGAGGAAAACAAAACAAACAAACAAACAAAAAACATGAGTAACTGAGACTCATTAACCAGAACATTGGTGTGGGAGGAGGGTTTGTGAGTTAAAATGTATGAATATATTTTAAGTGAAGTGAATTAGTTGTTATTCCTTAAAGTTGAAATGTCCTTTTTTGGGGTGTTCCTTTCATAAAACATTAAGAAAATTGTTTTCTTTTTTTTTTTTTTTGAGACAGAGTTTCACTCTTTTTGCCCAAGCTGGAGGGCAGTGGCGCGATCTCGGCTCACCGCAACCTCCGCCTCCCAGGTTCAAGCGATTCTCCTGCCTCAGCCTCCCGAGTAGCTGGGATTACAGGCATGTGCCACCACCCCGGCTAATTTTGTATTTTTAGTAGAGACGGGGTTTCTCCATGTTGGTCAGGCTGGTCTTGAACTCTCGACCTCAGGTGATCCACCTGCCTCGGCCTCCCAAAGTGCTGGGATTACAAGCGTGAGCCACCGCGCCCAGCCTGAAAATTGTTTTCTATATTTATTAATACTTAAAGTTGCTGATTGCATTGTTATTGTCATCAAGCCTTAAGCAATGGCATAATTGGTGGATATAATTTATTCACTTCCTATACAGTTGGTACATTAATATCCCTAAGTGCTTCACTTTTCTCTCTCTCTCTCTATATATATGTATATATATAGATTTTTTTCTTTTGTTGGTTTTTGTATTTTTATTTTATATGTGGAGTGCTTCAGTTTCTAGTTAGCTCTTACCTATTTGAACGTTGCCTTGCAACTTTGAGAAGTCCAATGTTTGTTCATGTGTTTCTTATGGTTAAAATAAAAATTACATAATTTTATTTTGATTTTCAAAAAGTTTCCTTTGAATATGATAGCATGTTGTTTTCCTCAATCTTTTTTTTTTTTTTTTTTTTTTTTTTGAGGCAGAGTCTTGCTCTGTCACGCAGGCTGGAGTGTAGCGGCACGATCTTGGCACACTGCAGCCTCTGCCTCCCAGGTTCAAGCAATTCTTGTGCCTTAGCCTCTCGAGTAGCTGAGATTACAGGCATACAACAGTACGCCCGGGAAATTTTTGTATTTTTAGTAGAGATGGAGTTTCACCATGTTGGCCAGGCTGGTCTCAAACTCCTGACCTCAAGTGATCCGCCCACCTCAGCCTCCCAAAGTGCTGGGATTACAGGCGTGAGCCACTGTGCCGAGCCGGTTTTTCTCAGTTTTGCCAAAATTTAAATCTGTGGTACAAATTATACTTAGAAATGTGTCACAAGTAACGTGTCGTGATAACTGTATTCTGTAGAGTGATCTAATTTGATGTTACTGATGGTTACTAGACTATAATTGAAGAGAGATGTTTCAGAGTTTAATATTAATCATAATTTTAGTGTATAATTTTAGTAAAGTGACTATCTTACTTTTTTTTCTCTGATTATAAATCAGTGATTCCATCTTACAAACCATTAAACCCTATTTAGAAATTGTATTTTTCTTGGTAGGAATGGTGATTGATAGTTATTCATCTTAGATGTTTTTGAATACCTGGCACAATGCTTACACTTTTATTATTCAAAGGAAAGTGATGAGGCACTGATCCCAGCATCAGGTCTGGATTTATACACAAGACTATGATGATACACTATTTTCTAGGGTAAATTAAGGTGCTGAATCTTAAGAGAGAAGAAATTCTTAGAAAATCCCTCTTTTCCTCCCTAACAAATAACACAACAACCCCCCTTTTACATGTAAATAACACATCAAACTATATGCAAAATCAATGTTGACCTATAGTTTTGTTTCCACAGAATTGAAAACATACTTTTTTTAGGCATTGCATTTCTGTTTATATAATTTTTTCATGCTTTTGAAAGCAAGAATGCTTTAGTTCAGTGACTGTTACCCACGTTTTGGCCTCAGTCTCCTTTATTTTATTTTTATTTTTATATTTATTTTTTTTTTTGAGACAGGGTCTCACTCTGTTGCCCAGGCTGGAGTGCAGTGGTGTGATCATAGCTCGCTGTAGCTATGAACTTCTGGGCTCAAGTTACCCTCCACCTCAGCCTCCTGAATAGCTGGGACCACAGGTGTGTGCCACCATGCCCAGCCATTCTGGGCTCAAGCAATTCTCCTCCCTTGGCCTCCCAAAGTGCTAGGATTACAGGTGTGAGCCACTGCTCCTGGCCTTCAGACTCCTTTGATAATCCTGTGACAACTATAAGTCCTCTGCCCTGAAAAATATATAAAGATACAGAATTTTGTGTAAATGTTCATTTATCATAGGCTTTACCTTATAGTAGTAACTTAAAAACATTTTTTGAGCATTCATAACTCATTTTTTAGAGGAAGCTCAGAGATAAAAGTTTAAAAGAAAAGAAGGATACCTGTGGTTGGGAGTGTGTGTGTGTGTGCTCTCAACCCCATTTGTGGGCTTCCTTTCTACCTGCTACTCCCCAGCCTCCTTTTATTAGCTGTGTCAATTTGAAAGGTTCCGACTGGTCAGAGTGCAGTGGTGTTTACAACTAATTGATCACAACCAGTTACAGATTTCTTTGTTCCTTCTCTAATCCCACTGCTTCAGTTGACTAGCCTAAAAAATAAATAAATAAATAAATAAATAAATAAATAAAATAAATAAAAGGTTCCTAAATTTGATTTTTGCTGGGGACAGGTTTAAGTGACACTTCTCCAGATGAAGGGTTAATAGAGGACTTGACTGTAGAAGACAAAGCTGTGGAGCAACTGGCAGAAGGATTGCTTTCTCATTATTTGCCAGATCTGCAGAGATCAAAACAAGCCCTCCAGGAACTCACGTAAGCTAATAAAAAACCAGATATACACTAATTTCCTCTGTGGCATAGTCATAATTTGTATACTTGTATACTGTGTTAAGACATAATATTTTTAAATATGGAATTATAATTGAGTATGTCTATATCTTTATTGATAGCAGATGGGAATAGAGGAGTACGTAGTATTCTAAATGTAAAAAGTGAAATGAATACTCTTAGGGTGTTTGATCTCTTCTAAGAAGTCCTCCTAAATCTTACCTAGCCTCTGTGATTAGGTTTGGTGTTTTATCATTATTTTATTAAAGTATTACCTGTTGGGGATTGTTCAGGTGGATATATACCTGTTTCCGAGTAGAGTTGAAAAACTGCCTCCATAAAAGTCACACTTGTTTTCAGTTGCTAGTTCAAATGAGTTGCCAGAGATCTGTAAGTATCTTTCCTGAGATGATCTGTTTCATTCCCAGTAGATAACTTTACTAGTAAGTAAAGATGGGGCCGGGCGTGGTGGCTCATGCCTGTAATCCCAGCACTTTGGGAGATCAAGGCGGGTGGATCACGAAGTAAGGAGATTGAGACCATCCTGGCTAACACAGTGAGACTCTGTCTCTACTAAAAATACAAAAAATTAGCTGGGCGTGTTGACGGGCGCCTCTAGTCCCAGCTGCTCGGGAGGCTGAGGCAGAGAATGTTGTGAACCTGCGATGGGGAGCTTGCAGTGAGCCGAGATCATGCCACTGTACTCCAGCCTGGGCAACAGAGCGAGACTCCGTCTTACAAAAAAAAAAAGAAAAAAAAAAGATTGGAGGTTATGTTAAGAAAATGGATAAGATAGAACAGAACCCATAGAGTGGGATCAGTATACAAAAACATATACTCAGGCTTTATCAGCTCCCATCCACAGACAACAGACTCAGCTTCTGCCTCCTCCTGGGTCAGAGCCTCTCTGGATAGCCCAGGCTGGCCTGTCATTTCTTTCTGTGGTGGTCATCTTTACACTGGCCACGAACTGCTGCTGCTCTGAGACCTACCCTTTGAAAACTTACTTAAGAGGCCTTTATTAGGGCAAAAGGAGAGGAATAATAACTGTGCTAATTTTATAATTATAAGTAATGTTATAATCCTTGGTGTTAAGGTGCTAAATGCATATGAAAGGATCTCGGCTCACTGCAACCTCCGCCTCCTGGGTTCAAGAGATTCTCTTGCCTCAGCCTCCCAAGTAGATGGGATTACAAGTGGCACACCATCGCACCCAGCTATTTTTTTTTGTATTTTTAGTAGAGACGGGTTTCACCATGTTGGCCAGGCTGGTTTTGAACTCCCGACCTCAACTGATCTGCCCACCTTGGCCTCCCAAAGTGCTAGGATTACAGGTGTGAGCCACTGTGCCCAGCCACATTCTCTGGAACCTTCTTTGAGAGTGGCCAGACTTACGGGTCAGGAAAGCACTATACTTAAAATTACAGTTTTATTATAAAGGGTACAGATCAGGACTAGCCAATGAAGAGATACACAGGGTACTGCCTGGGAGGTTCCTGAACACAGAACTTCTGTTTCCTCTCCCAGTGAGAGGAAACCCCTGCTGCCAGCACATCAGTGTGTTCAGCAGCTTGGCGTTCGAGCCTGCAGTGAACTGTGGTCACGCCACTGCTCCCTAGCCTGGGTGACGGAGTGAGACCGTATCTCCACAACAGAAATTCAGTCTTTTAATCTATGTACTTGGAATGTCTCTATTATTTAGATGTTCTTTGTTATTTTTCATTAGTCTCCCATCTCGAAGCTCTAGGGGCCCATCATGAGTCACTTTATTAGTGTAAACTCACGTGTGATCCAGGGAGCTCATGGATAACAAAGACACTTCTGTCACTTGGAAAATTCCAAGGATTTTAGAAGCTCTGTGCCAGAAACCTGGGACAAAGATCAGACAAATTCTTTGTTAGATAACAGATGTCTGTTCAGATCTTTTGCTTATTTTAAAATTGGATTATTTTTCTTATCGTTGAGTTTTAAGAGTTCTTTGTATATTTTTGATATGAGTCCTTTATGAGTTTTGCAAATATTTTCTCCGAGACTGTGGTTTGTCTTATTACTCTCTTTACAGTGTCTTTGGCAGAGCAGGAGTTTTTAATTTTAATAAATTTATTTAATAAATAAGAAAAATTAAATCAGTTTTTCTTTTATGAATTGTGCTTTTGGTATTGTATCTAAAAACTCATCACCAAACCAAGGTCACCTAGATTTTCTCCTGTGTTTTCTTCTAGAAGTTCTAGTTTTGCATTTTACATTTAGACCTGTGATTTATTTTGAGTTAGTTTTTTTTTTTTTGTTTTGAAACGGAGTTTCGCTCTTGTTGCCCAGGCTGTAGTACAATAGCGCGATCTCATCTCACCGCAACATGTGCATCCTGGGTTCAAGCGATTCTCCTGCCTCAGCCTCCTGAGCTGCTGGGATTATAGGCGTGCGCCACCACGCCTGTCTGCTTTTTGTACTTTTAGTGGAGATGGGATTTCTCCATGTTGGTCAGGCTGGTCTCGGACCTCAGGTGATCCGCCCGCCTCGGCCTCCCAAAGTGTTGGGATTGCAGGCGTGAACCACCGCGCCCAGCCTATTTTGAGTTTTTATGGAGGCTGTAAGGTCTGTGTTTATTAATAGATTCATTTCTTTGCGCATGGATAGCCAGTTGCTTCAGCACCATTTGTTGTTGTTGTTGTTTGAGACAGGGTCTCACTGTGTTGCCCAGGCTGGAGTGCAGTGGCACAGCCTCAGCTCACTGCAGCCTTGATTTCCTGGCTCAGTGATCCTCCCATCTCAGCCTCCCAAGTAGCTGGGACTACAGGCGCACAGCACCACACCTGGCCAATTTTTGTATTTTTTGTAGAGACAAGGTTTCACCATGTTGCCCTGGCTGGTCTTGAATTCCTAGGCTCAAGTGATCCTCCTGCCTTGGCCTCCCAAAGTGCTGGGATTACAAGTATGAGCCACTGTACCCAGCCACTATTTGTTGAAAAGACTATCCTTTCTCCACTGCATTGCCTTTGCAACTTTGTCAAAGAGAAGTTGATTGTTTCTGTGTAGATTTATTTAAGGGTTTTCTGTTCTGTTCCATTGATCAATATGTTTGTTCTTTTGCCAGTACCATGCTGTCTTGATTTCTGTAGCTTTTTGTTGTTATTGTTTTTTTTTTTTTTTTTTTTGAGACAGGGTCTCACTCTGTTGCCTGGGCTGAAATGCAGTGGCACGATCTCAGCTCACTGCAACCTCTGCCTCTGGGAGGTTGATTCTTGCACCTCAGCCTCCCAAGTAGCTGGAGTGACAGGTGTGTGCCACCACACTGGGCTAATTTTTGTATTTTTCGTAGAGATGGGGTTTCACCGTGTTGGCCAGGCTGATCTTGAACTCCTGACCTCAGGTGATCACCTGCCTTGGGCTCCCAAAGTGCTGGGATTACAGGAGTGAGTCACTGTGCCTGGCCAGATTTCTGTAGCTTTATAGTAAGTATTGAAATTGGGTACTGTGAGTCTTCCAGTTTTGTTCTTCAATATTGTATTGGCTTTTCTATGTCTTTGCCTTTCCATATGAACTTTCAAACAGTTTGTTGATATCTATACAATAACTTGCTGGGATTTTGATTGGCATTGCATTGAATCCTTAGATCAAGTTGAGAAGAATTTACATCTTAAAAAATATTGATGGGCTGGGCATGGTGGTTGACACTGGTAATCCAAGCACTTTGGGAGCCTGGGGCAGAAGGATCTCTTGAGGCCAGGAGTTGGAGACCAGCCTGGGTAATGTAATGAGACCCTGTCTCTACAAAAATATTTAAAAAGTCAACCTGGCATGGTGGTGTACACCTGTAGTGATAGCTACTTGGGAGGCTGAGGCAGAGGATCCCTTGAACCAGGAGTTCTAGGCTGCCGTGAGTGATGATCATGCCACTGCAGTCCAGCCTGGATGACAGAGTCAGACCCTATCTGAACAACAACAGTTGAGTCTTTTAATCTATGTACTTGGAATGTTTCTCTATTATTTAGATTTTCTTTGATATTTTTCGTTAGAGTTTTATAATTTTTACATTTAGATCCTGTACATATTTTGTTATATTTGTACCACAGTATTTCACTGGGGATGCAGAACTACTATAAATGGTATTGTTTTTAAATTTCAAATTAATTGCTGGTACACAGGAAAGAAATTGACTTCTGTATATTAACCTTGTATCCTGAAATCTTACTATACTTGCATATTAGTTTCAGGAGGTTTCTTGTTGAATCTTTGGGAATTCCCACTAGGAAATCATCTGGGAACAAAGACAGTATTATTTCTTTCTTCTCAGTTTGTATATCTTTTATTTCTTTTTCTCGTCTTACTGTATTAGTTTGGACTTAACGTATGATGTTGAATAGGAATTGTGAGACCCCTCTTCAAACTGAAGAAAGCAAAACTGCAGATAAAGGAGGGCTGATGTATTTTCTGGAAGAGACTGTGGGGAATTGGTATCATTTCTTCCTTAAATGTTTGGTAAAAATTACCAGTGAAGCCATTTGGTCCTGGCACTGTCTTTTTTGGAAGGTTATTACTTACTGATTGAATTTGTCTGATAAATATAGGCCTATATAAACTTTCTGTTTCTCCTTGTATAAGTTTTGGTAGTTTGTATCTTTCAAAGAATTAGTCCATTCCATCCACATTATCACGTTTATGAGCACCGAATTGTTGAAAGTATTCATTTATTATCCTTTTAATGTCTTGGGATCAGTGGTGATTATTGCTCTTTCATGAATAATACTAATACTGTGGGTCTTTTTTTTTCTCGATTGTCTCACTAGAGGTTTATCAATTTTATTGATCTTTTAAAGAACGATCTTTTCGTTTCATTGATTTTTTTGTTTTCCCCCTTCTATTGTTTTCTAGTTCTAACAGCCTATTTTTGCTGTTCTGCTTATCTCGGATGGTTGACTTGCTGGGTTTTCCTCTCATCCATTCTGTATTTCACTTTCTGTGATCTCTAGTCCAAGCTGGAGGGACAAAGTTATTTATTTATTTATTTATTTATTTATTTATTTATTTATTTATATTTGTAGAGATGGGGTCTCACTCTGTCACATGGGCTGTAGTACAGTGGTGTGATTATAACTCACTGCAGCTTCTAACTCCTGGGTTCAAGCAATCCTTCTGCCTCAGCCTCCCAAGTAGCTCGGACCACAGGTGTGTGCCACCACACCCAGCTAATTTTTTTTTTTTTTTTTTTAGTTTTTGTAGAGGGTCTCGCTTTGTTGTCCGTGCTGGTCTCAAATTCCTGGCTTCAAGCAATCCTCCTTCCTTGGCCTCCCAAAATGCTGGGATTACAGGCATGAACCATTGTGTCTGGCCAAGAGACAAATTTATGCCAGACTCAGTGCTGGATAGTAGAGATGTTGTAATTGCCGTCAGCCTCTTCGTTGCTATTTCTTTTTTTATCATTATTCTCTAGATAGCACAGTTTTACAAGCAAATCACATCATATTTTTCTTTGTAGCATTCTTTAAAATATTCAGGTAGGTCACCCTTTTAATGTCACTTATTCCTGTGATCCTAACATTGATTGATGTGGAAAGAAATATCAAGGAAGTTGGCTTCTCTTCCTCAATGAGTTTTGAATCCTAATTTTAAGAGAAACATTAGAAATTATCTGGTCTGACCTTCTCACTTTCTAAAAGAGGAGATTTAGGCCAGAGAAATAAACTGAATTTCTGAGATCACATAACTGGCTGTTGGCTGGGGAAAGCTATGATTTCCAGTCCTATGCTTTTTTCATCTTGTTGCTTAATTATCCTTTTTGACTTACTATCCCTTGATACTGCATCTTTCTCAACTCTAATCTGAAAACCATTGTTCCTCATTTCCTTTATGGGAATGTTGCAATTTTAAGATATACAAAACATTGAATTTCTTGGGCAAAATACTACAAAAAACTTCTTTTTTGGAATAATACAGAGAGTTGTTAAAAGTAACAGGTAATAAAATACTTTTAAATGATTGGATTATTTTAGTTATTAGAAATTGAAGCAAGAATAAAAGACACAAAAAGTTATCAGAATGTGGCTTTAGAATATTATTTTGAAAAATCCTATTCTATATTAAATAAACCTTGGAGAGTTAATACGTTTCCTACTTAATTTCTGTTACGATTAACCAAGATGAATATGATTCCTTTTAATGGGCCAGTATTTTAAATATGTAGAGTTTGTCTTGGCTGTGTGTTTTTGTTTCAGACAGAACCAAGTTGTATTGTTAGACACACTGGAACAAGAGATTTCAAAATTTAAAGAATGTCATTCTATGTTGGATATTAATGCTTTGGTAAGTATGATTTAGTTGATGTAACTTAATGACATCTTAGCAATAGGTAGATTTTAAGTTTAGAATTTGTCTTTTTAACAAGAAACCTTGATTGAACTTCTATTGTGTTGAATTGTTATCTTTCAAATGTTGAATTTGTAGTAATTCAACTACGAAATTTAGTAGTTGTAGTAATTTAGAAATTGTAGTAATTTGTAGAAGTTGAACTTATTTGTGCATTTGGAATAAACCTGCTCATAATTGAAGACTTAGAAAAGAGGACTGAGACTGGGCACAACGGCTCATGCCTGTAATCCCAGCACTTTGGGAGGCTGAGGCTGGAGGATTGCTTGAGCCCAGCAGTTCAAGACCAGCCTGGGCAACATAGTGAGAACTCATCTCTACAAAAAGTAATTTAAAAAAATAGCCCGGTATGGTGGCAAATGCCTGTAGTCTCAGCTATTCCAGGAGCTGAGGTAGAAGGATTGCTTGAGCCTAGGAGGTCGAGGCCACAAGTGAGCTGTGATTGTGCCACTGTACTCCAGCCTGGGTGACAAAGGGAGACCCTGTTTCAAAAAAAAAAAACAAAAAACAAAACTAACTGGAAGTAAAGAACCTTTGGGGTACCATTTTTTTTTCTTTAAAGAAAGTGTATTTCTCTTTACCAATTACATGGTTTCTTAAATTAGCATTTTATTTAATTATATGGCATATTCATAATGCTATAATAAATTAATGCCATAGGCTGAAGTGGCCACTTTGAGAACGATCAATTATAGCTTTCAATATAAATAGTTGAACAGTTAAATTTCATCAGAAGTTCTATAGCTTTTTGATGAGAGGAAGTGATACTCTTTATTATAAGAAACAAGGAATTAACAAAAAGGGAACTTGTTGCTACCTTTATTTTCTGATGAACATTAAAAATAGTTTCGTTTGTGGGCAGGGCATGGTGACTTATGACTGTAATCCCAGCACTTTGGGAGGCTGAAGTAGGAGGGTGGCTTGAGGCCTGGTATTTAGGACCAACCCGGCCAACATAGCAAGACCCCATCTCTATTAAGAAGAAAAAAAGCTGGGTTTGCATGACTGTAGCCATTCATGCATACCTCAAAAAATGGACTTTTCTTTGGACAAAGATGGTTTACTAATGTTTTCCATTTATAACAATTAAAAACAAAATTCATATTCTCTGGCATTAGACAGAGGCCTGCGGAAGTAAATACAGAGTCATCTGCCCGGTAGTTCCTGGTTTCTTGTGAGGGAGGTGGGCAAGGCTACACTGACCTACTTTTGTGTTCCCCACTGAGATCCTGTTGCAACAGAAGGAATATTTGTTGAATGAATGAATGTTGAATGAATTAACCAAGCAGATGTAATACTGTTGCTTTGGTCTGAAGGGGCAGGATGGAGTCTTCCTCTTTTTTCTTCTCTTAGTCAAGAGTAGTTTTTATTATCATCTGGGAACTGAAAACTGGAAGGCCCAGGATATGTAAAAAGGGACTGTAACTTCTGAGATAATCAGACAGTGACTTTACTTGCAGCTACATTAAGGCTGTGAATCTCTCTACTGACATTTCCTTCATTTCTTCTCTTTCTGTAACCTTGTCTGAAAATAGGGTGCTTTTCTCCTTCTCTGTGACATCTCTAGGCTTGCATTATCCTCCCATCTTCTCCTGACATAAGACTTCATTTTAGATTATGCAGGTTGGCTGAGTTGTAAAGTCTGTACTTACAATTCCTCGAGAATGAAAGTGTCCTCACAGAGATCACTTTGCTTAATCTGACTAAAAGAGCCCAAGGAATAGGATTAAACTTGTCCACAGTCTTCTCTGTTCAGGGCTCTGTGGCCACAGCTTGGGTTTTCCATATGGGCAGACACTTCACTTAAACTGTTTCATGTGCTCTGGCTCAGTCTCTCTCTCGTAAAGGCAGAGAGAATGCTTTACTTTTCTTCAGTGAAACTGATAGCATTGTTAGACAGTCTTACCTGAAATTTTATAATTACAGGTTTTTAAAGCAAAATCTTGTCTATTCCCATCTTAATATGTCTATTTTATATTTAGTAATACTTTTGTCTATCCGAACTAAATCAAATGTCTTTCAAATCCTACTAATGATATAAGGAAATCTTTATTTTGGAATTAAAATGTTGAGATAAGGTTGTAAAAATTTTGACCAATTTAGGAAGCACGAACTGTCATTTATATATTGACTTATTTATTCATTTTGATATTTTAGTCTATTTTAACTTGACTTTTCATTTATTTTTCCACGTTAAGTTTGCTGAGGCTAAACACTATCATGCCAAGTTGGTGAATATAAGAAAAGAGATGCTGATGCTTCATGAAAAAACATCAAAGTTAAAAGTGAGTTGAAAATTCTTTCACATTCTTTACAAAAGTAGAGGTTTAATTGTTGTGTTTTTTTTTTTTTTTTTTTTTTTTTTGAGACAGAATTTTGCTCTTGCCGCCCAGGCCGGAGTGCAATGGTGCAATCTCGGCTCACTGCAACCTCTGCCTCCTGGGTTCAAGTGATTCTCCTGCCTCAGCCCCCGAAGTAGCTGGGATTACAGGCGCCCGCCACCACACCGACCTAATTTTTGTATTTTTAGTAGAGACGTGGTTTCATCATGTTGGCCAGGCTGTTCTCAAACTCCTGACCTCAGGTGGTAACGCCCGCCTTGGCCTCCCAAAGTGCTGGGATTATAGGCGTGAGCCACTGTGTCCAGCCAGTATTCTTTTATTTTTATTTTTATTTTTTTTGAGACGGAGTCTCGCTCTGTTGCCCAAACTGGAGTGCAGTGGCCAGATCTCAGCTCACTGCAAGCTCCGCCCTTCGGGTTCACGCCATTCTCCTGCCTCAGCCTCCCGAGTAGCTGGCACTACAGGCGCCCGCCCCCTCGCCCTGCCAGTTTTCCATATTTTTTAGTAGAGATGGTGTTTCACTGGGTTAGCCAGGATGGTCTCGATCTCCTGACCTCGTGATCCGCCCGTCTCGGCCTCCCAAAGTGCTAGGATCACAGGCTTGAGCCACCGCGCCTGGCCCAGCCAGTATTCTTATTTTGACTTTTATACCCTCATTTACAATAGCATAATTAATTCATGGTACATTGTTTTCTTTTAAAAAATGTCATTGTTTATGAAATATTAGAGACAGGGTCTCACTATGTTGCTGAGGCTGGTCTTAAACTCCTGAGCTCAAGCTCCCCTGGCCTCGACCTCCCTAAGTTCTAGGATTATAGACATGAGCCACCGCATGCAGCCTAAAAAATGTCATTTTTTTTGAACTGCACACTGAGCTTTTTTACTAATAGCTGGGTTGATAGGCTTAGATTCTCTGGATATGCACTACAGTTCTCATTTAATAACAGCTTAGAGCAACAAATTTTTTTTGAATCAGAAGGACCTTAAATTATCCCAAATTTAAATGTCCAAGATGAAATTTATTAGTGTGAATGAATTACCTCAAAGCAGAGCACTATTATTTTCAAATTAGACCATACCTGTAACCCCGGATTGCTCTCTTGGTTTTTAATTTTTTTTTTAACACAGAAAAGAGCCCTTAAACTGCAGCAGAAGAGGCAAAAAGAAGAGTTGGAAAGGGAGCAGCAACGAGAGAAGGAGTTTGAAAGAGAAAAGCAGTTAACTGCCAGACCAGCCAAAAGGACGTGAAAAGTTGTGTTTGTGTGTTTTCTTCTCCTGTCCCATATTTGCGTTATGATGACTTAATGTAGACTGAAGTTGAGGTAGTGCCTTATGCCATTATGTCATATGTTGAAATCCTTATTCCGGTATTACTGTGTCTCCATGCCTTTTTTCCAAGTAGCAGACGTCATGTTGCTTGGTTTTTGATATTTATATGTAAGTTTTTCAAATTTTGTTTAATTTTAAAATTTATTATTTTGATCTTGAATTATTTATAAACCGGAAAATGGTTTGATTATTGTGAGTCAAAACTCTAAGTGGTTAAAAATTAGTATGAATTTTTTAGCTTCTTGATGAATACAGATTTAAAACTCTCCAGTTCTTATTTTATGAAATGACTTGCCTTTCTGGTAATACAATGCTGATTTTTTAGTAATTGCCTTTTCATTGCTTAGTTAAGAAGAAATGCCAGCTGTTTAATCACACCTACCCCTGGAAAAGAGGTGAGTGAGCCTTTTGAACAGTTGAATTTCATCAGAAGCTCTATAGCTTTTTGGTAAGAGGAAGTGATACTCTTTATTATAAGAAACAAGGAATTAACAAAAATAAGGAACTTGTTGCTACCTTTCTTTTCTGTTGAACATTAAAAATAGTTTGGTTTGTGGACTGGCCATGGTGGCTTATGGAGAAGAGATGAGCGTTTGTGAAGAACATAATGGAGAAGTGCATGCACGAGAAATGACAGCACTTTAGGTGTAGTTCAGGTGAGCAAGATGCCAGATAGATTCTACTAACCATATACTCTCCCTGCTTCTTAGTGTCGTTGTCACTGCTTTCTGCAGCTTTTGGGTTCAGAGTAGATTATATCTATTCCTAAAGCTTGGTGGAGGTGGTGGAGCTATCACACACTCAAATGAGCTTGTATATTTATCATACAATATAGTATTATAATAACAGTTATCATACACTGAGATATAGTTTCTGTGCTTGTAAAAAATTCTTGGCTGGGCGCGGTGGCTCAAGCCTGTAATCCCAGCACTTTGGGAGGCCGAGACGGGCGGATCACGAGGTCAGGAGATCGAGACCATCCTGGCTAACCCGGTGAAACCCCATCTCTACTAAAAAATACAAAAAAACTAGCCGGGCGAGGTGGCGGGCGCCTGTAGTCCCAGCTACTCAGGAGGCTGAGGCAGGAGAATGGCGTGGACCCGGGAGGCGGAGCTTGCAGTGAGCTGAGATCCGGCCACTGCACTTCAGCCTGGGCAACAGAGTGAGACTCCATCTCAAAAAAAAAAAAAAAAAAAATTCTTGAAGTGAGGCCGGGCGTGGTGGCTCACGCCTGTGATCCCAGCACTTTGGGAGGCCAAGGTGGGTGGATCACGAGGTCAAAAGATTGAGACCATCCTGGCCAACATGGTAAAACACCGTCTCTACGAGAAATACAAAAATTGGCTGGGTGTGGTGGCAGGCACCTGTAGTTCCAGCTACTTAGGAGGCTGAGGCAGGAGAATCGCTTGAACCCGGGAGGCGGAGCTTGCAGTGAGCCAAGATGCGCCACTGCACTCCAGCCTTGGTGACAGAGCAAGACTCTGTCTCAAAAAAAAAAAAACCAGAAAATTTCTTGAAGTGGAATGATGTACACCAACTACTGACTTTATAGATAATTACAGGGATGGTGAAAAACTAGTAAATAACTTCACAAAAGAGGCAGCATGATACGTTTAGTGTTTTCTAGAATTTTTTTTTGTATATTGTATGTAAGAACTTATTGTTTGAGGGAAATATTATGAGGTTTCATTGTTTAAAATCAAGAGTATATTGTTTACTGTTTCACACTATTATTTAATATCCAAGTGGTCTCCAATCTCCATTACATAGGGACTGTACAGAGCCTGTGAAGATGTATGAATGTGTATCTTTTATAGTCCACAATACATTTTTGGTAAGATGGAATCACTACCTCTGATCACATATATCAGACTAATGATGGAGAAAGCATTCGGTTTAAGTTGAGGGCTAAGAACTGGTTTGTTTAAAGGTTTAAATTGTTGGAAAGAGCATTTGCCTCCTTTAATGAATGATGGTCTCAGAATTCAGTTGACTTTGACCTAATATTTAAGAATATAAATATATTTTACTTGAAAAGGCTGAGTGTTGCCCTCAAACACTTGCTAAAACTGCCTAGGGCAGGATTCATTGGGGCTTGTGGACAATGTCACCTAATTGCTGAATGTACTCATTATAATATGATATCTGACAAAGGTGGTACAGTGTTTCTGAGTCATTTGGGACCAACTGCATGGTTGTTTAAAATGCTGATTCCTGCACATGACTCTCCATCTACTGAAGCACAGCTCTTTTCTGTGTTTTGCTTTGCTTTTTGTGTTTAAAGTTTCCCTCAGTGATTCCAGTGCACCTGAAAAGTTGAGAACCACAGGCTTAGTGGTAGGTCGGGGTTTCCCACACTAGGCTGCATGGCATTATCACCTGGGAACATTAAAAAAATACAGACATTCTCGATTCTTAGTGTAGTTATGGTGTGGATCCCATGTATTTTTTTAAAAGTTCCCCAGATAATTTTGATGTCAGGAGTCACTAGTATAGACTATCTATCTAGTGAGTTGTGTTATAAGCAATGAGATACTTTAAAAGCTACCCAGTAACTCTTGGGATTAATTTTATGAAATAAATTCTGAGCTGCTGCTTTTGATAGTCAGACTTAAGACTGAACCCCAGTAGACAGGCTATAGATAAGAATTCTGGTTAGTTAATTGAACTTTTGTGATGTATTTAAAACAAATCATATTTATTGAACAAATGGCAAGGCACAAATACTTTCAGAATTGTATTTAAGTTTTGAAGATTTTTTAAAAAGTGAAAATGAATATATATTAGTATCCTCTATTTTAAAGTCATTGTAAACCAGAAGTACTGTTATTTTGGTGATTAAAATCCAAAACTTTAGCTGTATTTCAGTAACAAAAACATATCTTACTAGACTGAGTGCGATGGCTCACACCTGTAATCCCAGTGCTTTGGGAGGCTGAGGTGGGAAGATTCTTTGAGCCCAGGAGTTCAAGGCTGCAGTGAACTCTGATCGCACCACTGAACTTCAGCCCGGATGACAGAGAGAGACCCTGTTTCTAAAACCAAAACAAACAAACAAACAAGGTATCTTACTGACTAAACTGGAATGGAACTCATAATTAGTCTTGTATTTTTCCACAAAATAGTGAATTGGTACTTGGGAGACTTCTGTTTTTTGTTGAAAAAATTGCTTTTGTTTTCAAATTATATCACCTGTGTTCTGAACTAAAATGATGGGAGTTCATTTTGTATTTACTTTGCAGTATATATCATGTAAATATGCAAATGTTGAATGTAATGTAGATTGTGTCCTCATTGAGTTTTTGGGTGATACAGTTTATAAATATACCAATTATATACCCTCATACATTCGTCTGATTTTGAGCTTGTAACATGAGAACTGCTTTTTACACATTTAATAAAAAAAGTCTCTGAATTATCTGATATCATTTAGCAAGCATCCTTCTGTGCATAGCACTATATACTCCCCTTCATGTACATTATTTCAAACATTCTACTATCTTCTCTTCTCACCTGTTATCTTTCTCTTAATGTTCTCCATCTATTGTGTCACAAAATTATGGGTCCACTCATGAAATTTATTTTAGAAAGGTGATAAAAAGGGAGGCGCGGTGGCTTATGCCTGTAATCTCAGCGCTTTGGAAGGGCAAGGCGGGCAGATCACTTGAGGCTAGGAGTTCAAGACCAGCGCGGCCAACATGGTAAAACCCTGTCTCTACAAAAATTACAAAAATTAGCCGGGTGTTGTGGTGCATGCCTGTAATCCCAGCTACTACTCAGGAGGCTGAGGCAGGAGAATCACTTGAAATGGGAGGCAGAGGTTGCAGTGAGCCAAGGTCACGCCACTGCACTCCAGCCTGGGTGACAGAGTGAGATGCTGTATCAAAAAAAAAAAAAAAAAAAAAAAGGATAGAGACTGGGCACAGTGGCTCATGCCTGTAATCCTAACACTTTGGGAGGCAGTTGGATCACTGGAGGTCAGGAGCTCGAGACCAGCCTCCAGCCTGGCCAACATGGTGAAACCTTGTCTCTACTAAAAATACAAAATCAGCAGGGTGTGGTGGTGTGCTTGTAATCCCAGCTACTTGGGAGGCTGAGGCAGGAGAATCTCTTGAACCCAGGAGGTGGAGGTTGCAGTGAGCTGAGATCATGCCACTGCACTCCAGCCTCGGTGACAGAGCGAGAGCAAGACTCCATCCCCCACCCCCGCAAAAAAAGTAGTGTGAAAAGATTCTAGTCAAACCAATTTCATAAAGTTTTTCACTTTTCTTTGAGAACAAAAATAATACCTACTATTAGTAGTTTGATAGGTAGAAAGTGCTTCAAAAGGATCCCTGCAGGTATGACTTATAAAAAATGAAAATTTCCAACTTATAGAATATTTTAGGTCAGATTTTTAACTTTTTTTTTTTTAAGGATATTTTATTAAAAAAAAAAAAAAGTGGGCTCTGGGAACAGGGTTAGTCCATTCAGGCCTTCAATCCTAGTGGTGATTTTGTCCTTTTCAATGATGTGGAGAACAACTCCACGCCTGACACTGCAACCCGGTCAACCGCATTCAGCATGGCTTGAGAGATGCTTTTTTTTTCTTTTTTTTGAGAGGGAGTTTTGCTCTGTTGCCCAGGCTGGAGTGCAGTGGCGCGATCCCTCACTGTAAGCTCTGCCTCCCGGGTTCACACCATTCTCCTGCCTCAGCCTCCCAAGTAGCTGGGACTACAGGCACCCGCCACTGCGCCCGGCTGATTTTTTGTATTGTTAGTAGAGATGGGGTTTCACCATGGCCTCGATCTCCTGATCTCGTGATCTGCCCGCCTCAGCCTCCGGAAGTGCTGGGATTACAGGGGTGAGCCACTGCGCCTGGCCGAGATGCTTCCAAACAGGTATTCTGGATCCATGCTGGGCTTCCAGAGGGACTTGCACATTCTGTACATTTGTTTGGCGCAGTGCCACTGACCACAAAGTCATCAGTTGCCATGGGGCAGCCGATGAGATTGAGAGAGCAAATGAAGGGCTTAAAGCTCTTTGGGTCCAACCCAGAAATGACTGGCTCAGTATAGTAGGGGCCAAACTGTTTCTCATACAAGAGGTTGGCCATTATGCTCATGAGAGTATAAGGTTTGGTCTGCCAACCTTTCTTCAACTCATACAGGTTCAGCTGGAACTTCAGGCACTGGGCAACTGTCTGGATGTCTGTGGCAAGCCCAGCTAGCCCGGTGTATGGCCAGTCAACCATGAACAACATCTTCTGGAAGTCCGTGGTCACCATCTGGGCCTGGATCCTGAAGCATCTGTCTGTGGCGATAGCCACACAGTTCTTCCCCTTCATGGCCATGACAGGCCCTCCATTATAGGACATAATAGACGTGATTGTGGTATGCTAGGACCCCTTCATCCAGATTTTTAATTTTTTTAACCTTGGAGTTTTTGGATCCCTGAGGGAGGAACTTCTGTGAATGGCTTTTGGAGGGGACACAAACCCTTATAATTGTACCACAGAATTTTGTGTATGTGTATTTCCCAGGATTGGGTCTCCAGATTTCATCAGATTCATATGATGAATCTGTAAAATTTCCTACAAAGCGGTGATTCTTGATCAGTAAACCTCCAAGCCTCATTGTGCACATATTTAAAAAGTTACTTCGTTTCTAAATATTTATTTTGATGAAGATAGTTCCCATATAGGTTCGTTCAGATTAATCAGATATTTAAGATTTGTTCTGTTGCTAGTTGATTCCTACTATTTTTTTTTTTTTTTCCGACACGGAGTCTTGCTCTGTCGCCCAGGCTGAAGTGCAGTGGCGTGATCTCAGCTCACTACAAGCTCCACCTCCTGGGTTCACACCATTCTCCTGCCTCAGCCTCCCTAGTAGCTAGAACTACAGGTGCCCGCCACCACGCCTGGCTAATTTTTTGTATTTTTAGTAGAGACGGGTTTCACCATGTTAGCCAGGGTGGTCTTGATCTCCTGATCTCGTGATCCGCCTGCCTCGGCCTCCCAAAGTGCTGGGATTACAAGTTTATTCCTACTGTTTTAGCTCAGTTCGTATGTATGAGGTCATTTAGTCTTCAGGTTAGCATTTGAGTGAGACTAGGTTTATTTTCAAAACCTGTAAGAGAATGAAGTGAGTAATCAAGAGAGAGAGTTCTAATGACTGCAATTTGAAAAGCACTTAAAGCAAAAATTCCAAAGAAACACAATGTAAAAGAAGGGCAATCAAAGAGAAGGTGGGTAAAATTTGGGATGGGATGGGGGTGGTGATTGAGAAAGAGAAAACAACAGGCCTAGACCAACGTAGAAGGTCAAGGTAATTTATGCTTCATGTATGTACCCTGAATAAGGGAGGCTTGCAGGCATGTAAAGAACAATAAACAGAAGCCACCTATTTTTGGTTAAAAGTAACAAAAAGTCGCCCCCTACTGTCACTTTATTGTAAATGGAGGAAAAGTTTGTAGCTGTTCATCCTGGTTTAAACCATAAATATATTCCTAATGAGCTCTAGGAAGCCTGCAATGTTCAAATCCTGTTAAGGATGGGCTGAAAATCACTCTGAGAATGATTTTCGCTCTTATTTTTGGTCTGACTTTTATTAGTCCATTAGAGGAGACAGTTAAACAGTACAAGGGACTACAGGCTTGGCGCGGTGGCTCATGCCTGTAAACACAGCACTTTGGGAGGCCGAAGCGGGTGGATCACAAGGTCAGGAGTTCGAGACCAGCCTGGCCAACATGGTGAAACCCCATCTCTACTAAAGATATAAAACATTAGCCAGGCGTGGTGGTGCGTGCCTGTAGTCCCAGCTACTCGGGAGGCTGAGGCAGGAGAATCGCTTGAACCTGGGAGGCGGAGGTTGCAGTGAGCCAAGATCGTCCCATTGCACTCCAGCCTGGGTGACGGTGAGACTCCATCTCAAAAAAAAAAAAGACAAGGGAATACTAAGAAACAAAAATATGTCTATAAACCTGAAGGTTCTTAGCCTTCCCTTTGATTATAAAGTTAAAAATTTTAAAGCATGTAGTTGCCTTAGTAATATAGTGGTTAGGATTATGAACTCAAGTCAGATTGAAACCGAGCATGATGACTCACACCTATAATCCCAGCACTTTTGGAAGCTGAAGCAGGAGGATCACTTGAGCTCAGGAGTTTGAGACCAGCCTGGGCAACATAGTGAAACCCCATCTCTACCAAAAAAATAAAAGAAGAAGAAGAAGAGAAAATTAGACAGGTGTGGTGGCACATGCCTGTGGTCCCAGCTACTTGGGAGGCTGAGGTGGGTGGATCACTTGAACACAGGAGGTTGAGGCAGTGAGCCATGATCCCACCACTGCACTCCAGCCTGGTGATAGAACATGACTCTGTCTCTACATAAATAAATAAATAAAGTCAGACTGCTTTGATTCATGTTCCTGCTTGATTTGGGGCATTAGACAAATTGCTTAAATTCTGTGTCCCTAAGTTTCTAAAACCGTGAAGTTAGGATACTAAGAGCTTGTAGCTTGATAAGGATGTAAAGTTTCATGATATCTATATAAAAGCCCTTATTAACAAAATAGTAAGAGCTCAAATGTTGGATATTATATCTTAGTACCTCGAAGTCACATATCTACATGGGCGACTATTTATTTTGCCACCCTTTGCACATCTATTTTTGCTCATCGGAGTTTTCACTGCCTATAATGTCTGCCTGTTGGACACCTGTTTATTCTTTGCAAGTCAAATGGCACCTCTTTATGGTTTTCCTCACTGCCACCCAAATAATTCATTTTTCTGTGTTCCCACAGTATTTTCATAATACATTGCCTTAACACTTAAACAGTATTAGTTATGTGTTCATGTGTTTTTCAGATGTGTTCTGGGTATGACTGAAGTGAGTCGTAGGAAGCAGTGAACTGCTGCTGCCTGGAACCTACCCCAACCCCATTCCCCTGCAGTCCTACCCTCTGCCCAGCATGCTTAGGAAAGTTGATTGTAGGGAACCCAAACAATCCCTGTAAGTAGGAGGTAAATAGATAGAAGGTAACTAGAGTAAATAGATTAAGAAAGCAACCAGATGGCTTAACATGTCATCAGAGACTTTCTGTGCACTTTCATTTTCATGGTATAAAAGGTAAGGTGTATATCGCAAGTCCTGAGATGTACCTTGTCTTGCTGCTGCCCAAGACTGCCTACTATGTAAGTTTCCCCTGAATAAATTTTTGGCTACCTACCATCCTGGAGTGGTCTGCTTCTTTCTTTGGTCTGAGCTTGCCCTCCGCTTATGGAGGCCATTATTGGTTCCAGTAGGGAGTTTTCCTAACATATGATCAAAGATATTTCTTTTTCTTTTTCTTTTTCTTTTTTGGAGATGGAGTCTTGCTCTGTCACCAGGCTGGAGTGCAGTGGCTCGATCTTGGCTCACCGCAACCTCTGCCTCCTGGGTTCAAGC